ATCAAGACACCGCTGTCCTATATTACTTGTTTTTAAGATTTTTATTTGTTTGTTTTGCCATTCTGGCTGTTTTTGCTGTTAATCTGCCATTAGGTTTGCAATATAATTCCCTGTGGTATCTACATAATGAATGAAGGACAAAAAAAAGTTAACCTGAAAACGTCTCTGCAACATGCCACAAACACTTAGTTGGTATGCTGTCACAACGTTACAATAGCAATGTTGTCACAACATCGCAGTAAAGTTGTGGATATGTCGGGACAACCTTCCAGCAACGCCCTGTGTGACGTTCTGACAGCGTTGTAGCGGAATTTCACTGTGGAAGTCACATACCACGTAACATACCACGTAACATACCACGTAACATACCACGTAACATACCACGTAACATACCACGTAACATACCACGTAACATACCACGTAACATACCACGTTCCTGCAACTACGTTGTTGCAACAGACCTGTGTTAGTAGGGACTAAAGAAAACTTATAAAATAAATGTATTAGGATAGAAGACAATAGAATCCAATGAAAGAATAATGTTAAATTCATGCTTACATCATATTATTATTACTATAATATTGTAATATTGGTCATTACAGCACTGCTATTATTACTAGAAATGAATTAAAGGTAGAAAGAAAAAGTAAACAAGACATTTTTCTGGGTGTGGACATTAAAAATGTTATTTAAAAACCTAATAAACGTATAAAAACCTACAGATGTGACGACATTTACATTTTAAAGTGGAAACCCCCAAATGTTGCTGTAATAATAGAACACGTTATTCTGGAAGCCTGGACCCGATGAGGGCTGAAGCCTGTTTACGTTCCTCAGGTGAGTCCGCTACAGGTAAAGGTAAACACGGGTTCTGTGTTCTCTAGAGCAGAACCAGGCTCCTGACGCTTCTTTTGGGTCAGAACCAACACGTCCCCGGCTCTGTCACGTCTACAGCGGACTCGAACAGCGACCGACCCCCCTCCGCCTGACCGTCCGTTACCGCGAGCTGCTGCCGCTGCGTTCGTCGTTTCTGTTCCCGCAGCGAACCCGTCCTCTCAGCGGAAACGCACCTCGTTCTGGGTCAAACCCGAACCGAGCAGAGCGATGCTGCGGAGCGGGAGGGTGCTTTATCTGAGCCTGGCTGAATGTTGTATTGTTTATAACAGAATAATAAGCGTTTTATTACACACCGATCTTCTGGCCCACCGGCGTGCTGAACGGGTTCCCCATCAGAAAGTCCATGGTGCTGGGCGGAGAGGGCCCAGGGAGGCGCCGACGTCTCCGGGCCGAGCCGTCTGCGACGAGCCGCAGTGCTGCTTCTGCTGGAGGTGTTCTGCTCAGAGTGGGACACCGGACTGATCTGCGTCAGCTCTTAAAGGGACAGCCGCACTAATCACGTGGTCGGGGAAATAACGGTAGCACACGGAGACGGCGCCCCCTGCTGGCAGCTTCACTTGTAGCAGCTCGAGCAGAGCTGTGACTAAAACGTCCCAAATCCTTTAACTGACATTCCACATACATGTTTATAGGGGGCTAAAAATAAACAATAAAGCTTTCCTACAGGAAATAAAGAAAATTAGCTCAAGTTAAAAATCACAAGAAATAAACATTTAAAATACAAAAAATCTTCAAAAATTATTTTAAAAATATGGTTAAAATTAGGAGAAATAAGAAGAATAGTGAGAAAAATGTAAGGAAAGGGAAACAGGGAAAATCTGTGGATCCCAGAAAAGGTGGAATAGGTAGAAAGCTGAATAAGGAGAGGATGGTGGTGAAGGTCACACAAAGCCTGAGTCTTCAGCTGCTCTTTAAAGGAGACCACTGAGTCCACTGATCTCAGGCTCAGGGGGAGAGAGGTCCAGAGTCTGGGGCCACAGCAGCAGATCCTCTCGGCTCTCCCTTGTCCTGCCTCCAACATGCCTCCATCTAAAAGGCTAGATTATCCAGAGTTATCTCTGTAGTTATGCTGCTATAGGCTTAGACTGCTGGAGGATACACTGACCACTTTTCACACTCGACTACTTTCTTCTACAATCTGCTCTTTAACTGTATTATTTCCTGCTATTTCAGCTGTTAACTTTATTTTTTCTCTAAGTGTTTTTCTCCCCAGAAGAAGCTACAATGATGTTCTGCTGAGCTGTGGTGGCCTCATGGAGGGGGCCATCGCCTAGCACATTGCTGCTAACCACTTAAACATTCTCCCTCTTCTGATATTAACTTTTTGCTTTCCTTGACATTGAATGTGCTACTACTAGTTTACCCGTTTAATTATACAGGTGCTGGCCAGTAAATTAGAATATCATCAAAAGGTTGAAAATATTTCAGTAATTCCATTCAAAACGTGAAACTTGTACATTATATTCATGCAATGCACACAGACCAATGTATTTCCGATGTTTATTACGTTTAATTTTGATATTTATAGGTGACAACCAATGAAAACATCAAATCTGGTATCTCAGAAAATTAGAATATTCTAAAGGCCAATGAAAAAATGTTTGTTTCTCTAATGTTGGCCAACTGAAAAGAATGAACATGAAAAGAATGTGCATGTATAGCACTCAATACTTAGTCGGGGCTCCTTTTGCCTCAATAACTGCAGTAATGCGGCGTGGCATGGACTCGATCAGTCTGTGGCACTGCTCAGGTGTTATGAGAGCCCAGGTTGCTCTGATAGTCGTCTTCAGCTCCTCTGCATTGTTGGGTCTAGCGTATTGCATCCTCCGCTTCACAATACCCCATAGATTTTCTATGGTGTTAAGGTCAGGCGAGTTTGCTGGCCAATCAAGGACAGGGATACCATGGTCCTTGAACCAGGTGCTGGTGGTTTTGGCACTGTGTGCAGGTGCCAAGTCCTGTTGAAAGGTGAAGTCTGCATCCCCATAAAGTTGGTCAGCAGCAGGAAGCATGAAGTGCTCTAAAACTTCCTGGTAGACGGCTGCATTGACCCTGGACCTCAGGAAACAGAGTGGGCCAACACCGGCAGATGACATGGCACCCCACACCATCACTGACGGTGGAAACTTTACACTGGACCTCATGCAACGTGGATTCTGTGCTTCTCCGCTCTTCCTCCAGACTCTGGGTCCTTGATTTCCAAAGGAAATGCAGAACTTGCTTTCATCAGAAAACATAACTTTGGACCACTCAGCATCAGTCCAGTCCTTTTTGTCCTTGGCCCAGGCGAGACGCTTCTTGCGCTGTTTCTTGTTCAAGAGTGGCTTGACACACGGAATGCGACACCTGAATCCCATGTCTTTCATGAGTCTCCTCGTGGTGGTTCTTGAAGCGCTGACTCCAGCTGCAGTCCACTCTTTGTGGATCTCCCCCACATTTTTGAATGGGTTTGTCGTCACAATTCTCTGCAGGGTGCGGTTATCCCTAGAGCTTGTACACTTTTTTCTACCACATTTTTTCCGTCCCTTCGCCTGTCTGTTAATGTGCTTGGACACAGAGCTCTGCGAACAGCCAGCTTCTTTAGCAATCACCTTTTGTGTCTTGCCCTCCTTGTGCAAGGTGTCAATGATTGTCTTTTGGACAGCTGTTAAGTCAGAAGTCTTCCCCATGATTGTGGTGCCTTCAAAACAAGACTGAGGGACCTTTTAAAGGCCTTTGCAGGTGTTTTGAGTAAATCAGCTGATTAGAGTGGCAGCAGGTGTCTTCTATATTCAGCCTTTTCAGAATATTCTAATTTTTTGAGATACCAAATTTGGAGTTTTCATTAGTTGTCACTTATGAATATCAAATTTAAATGTAATGAACATTGGAAATACATTGGTCTGTGTGCATTGCATGAATATAATGTACAAGTTTCACGTTTTGAATGGAATTACTGAAATATTTTCAACCTTTTGATGATATTCTAATTTACTGGCCAGCACCTGTAGATCCACTAGGATAAATACAGTAAAGTTTATCTCTCACCAAATAGAATATTTACTAAGAAATCACAATGTAACCATAGAAACACTACTTGGTGTGTGTGTGTGTGTGTGTGTGTGTGTGTGTGTGTGCGTGCGTGCATGCTCTGTCTTCTCCATCCCCAGTGAGTCGTGGAGGATGGCTGCTTATACTGAGCCAGGATTCTCTGGAGGTTTCTTCCTGTTAAAAGGGAGTTTTCCTCTCCACTGTCACTGCATGCTTGCTTAGTATGAGGACTGCTGTAAAGTCACTGACACTAGTCAGTGACTTGATGCAATTTGCTGGGTTCCTTATATAGGAAACATTATTTCTGATTGGCTTAATGAACTGACCTGAATTGGAATGTTTATTATGTGAAGTGCCTTGAGACGACTCTTGTCGTGATTTGGCGCTTTATAAATAAACTTGAATTGAAATAAATTGAATTGAATCCTTTGGTCTTTAGTTTGGTGTGCTGCACAACCAGGAGGCTTTGGTCACTGGACCTCAATGGACCTCATAATACACCATGCCATGCAGTTTCTAGAGCGCTTTTAACACGACATCACAACCGACCAAAGCGCTGCACACGATAAAACAACACAGATAGCATAACAACAATTATAAATAACAACAAAATAAAACCAGTACAAAGTAAAAGCACAAAAGAAAACACCTTTTCAAGCAGAGAAGAAGCAAAAATGATGAAAACTACCTCTACTACTACTACTACTACTACTACTACTACTACTACTACTACAATATACTAATCCACAGACAATTTAACAGCCAAGGTGGAAAGAAAGATAACAAATATATGTGTTGATGCTTCATGGGTTAGGAGTTGAAGGCCAGGGAGAAGTAGTGTGTTTTCAGGCGTGATTTAAAAACGGCGATAGAAGGCTTGCCTGGCCTGGAGAGGTAGTGAGGTCCAAAGTTTTGAGGCACAGATCGAAAAAGCCCTTCTCCCCACGGGTCTTCTAACGTGCCTCACGAGCGACGAGGAGGAGCTGATCTGCAGACCTCAGAGCACGAGGAGGGTGGTGGAAATGGAGGCGCTTGCTCAGATAGGGTGGGGCCTGACTGTTCAACGGTTCGATTACAAGAAGAATTTTGAACTTGGTCCTGAACTGAACTGGCAACCAGTGGAGTCATTCGAGTATGGGTGTAATGTGCTGTCTTCTGTCAGCTCCAGTCAACCAACATAGTTATAAATATATCGTGGAGATAAATAAAACAATAAAGTGGTTTTCTTGCATTTGTCTAAAAACCTCCACTAACACGTCTCGGAACAAATCCAGCGATTGGACCATCTGGTTGTCGGTGTAACGTGATGAAGGAGCCTCAAGGTCCTTCATTCCTCAAGGTTATTGATCCTCTAACCACAGTTGCCTCTGACACAGCGCCAGAGTGCATGAAACAGCCTCAAGGTCATGCATTTGCTTCTAAACTGTTTACTTTCCAGCAATGAAGACAGAAGATGAAGAGACTCTTTTCTTTTATCAAAATCAAAGAACTCTATTTTCAATAAAGCTAATCAAAACAACTGTTAGTCAATAATACAATGTGACCGATCTGTGAAATCACAATATTATGATTAATATGTTTTGAATAAGTAATATAACTTAGTCTCGTTCACTAGACACACTGATACATTAAGGTAAACAATCACATGACACATTGCTGTTGCTGATCCTATCAGAACCTTCAAGTCTGAAGCGTGGCAGAGTCTCTGTGGTGTTTATTTAATCTGTCAGCTTTGATTCGTCCAGAATAAAAAACATCCAGATTAACAAACAGTTCCAACGCCATTTTAAGTCAGTTCTCAAGATCTCGTTTTCAAGGTCCCATGAAGTTCACCGCATGTTAAGTGAAGTATGGACAGGCCATCTATACTTCTCTCTTAAGCCGAGAGCCATCAAGCAGGGAAACATCTGTTGTTGTTACCAACCAACAACGGTTCCTTCAGAATAAAAGCTGAACTCGCTGACCCAAGGAGGGTCCCTTTTTGACACTGTGAACCACCTGTCGCTTTTTACCTGGAGACTATCCAAGGACTGGTCTGTCGTGCTGTGACGCTGCACCATTGGCTCCAGTACCGGAAGGAAGGTCCAAGGACCTGGCATTCTGGATCCATCGTGAAGGTCTCACTGAGGGTATGTGGATGCGACAAAAATGGCGTGTTTATGTGTTTCATGTGTTTATGACTACGGGTCTCAAACTCTGGTCAGTTTGGAGCAAAACATCATCTCCCACTCAGACTTTGTTTCTCCGGATGCGAGGGTTCTGAATGACACTCATTCACACACACCATTCACCTCACACTTCATTCAAACAGAACAGCCATCATTAGAGAGTTAGTAAATGGCCTGTAATTTGATATAGCTCCTGCTAGAGTCCTGGAACCCCCCAAGGCGCTTTACAACACCATCAGTCATTCACACACATTCACACACTGGTGGGCATGAGCTACGATGTAGCCACAGCTGCCCTGGGGCGCACTGACAGAGACGAGTCTGCCGAGCACTGGCGCCACCGGTCCCAGACTGAGCAGGACTCGAACCTGCAACCTTCCGATTACAGGGCGAGCACTTAACTCCTGTGCCACCGTCGTTCGTCGTAGTCTCGCTAAATTGTTTAAAATCATTTAGTAATAAATTTCCTTAAACGTTTGAAAGTCTCTCTCTCTTCTCTTGTCTCTCAGTTAATGCAAAGTGTTATTTTAAAGTCCCTGCAATAAAAAGATCCAATCTTCTGATTTAAATAACCCAGTGTCCGTAAGATGGAATTCATACTAGATATGGATTTTTAATGTCTTTAATGTAATTAAAATCTATCTTTACATCGGTCACGCCAAACCGCCGCACTCCCCTGGGTCCTCCACTCATCACACACTCTCGTATGCAGCAGCAGAACACCACTGGTGTGAGAAGTTCTCCGCTCAGTGACATCAGAGGAGGAGAAACAGCCGGCTGCTACCACTTCAGCTTCAGGACAAACTACCAGGCAAGAAAAGATCCGGTAAGGACCTGGAAACAGCAACCGGTGTTTAGCGCTACCTCGTTCCCTCTGGTAATGTGGCTTCCAGTATTTGAGGGAGGTGGCCTCTCCTGCTGAGAGGTGCAGAAGTCTCATTGACGGTTACAGGAATCATTTGATTGCAGCGATAGCTTCAAAATGTTGTGCAACAAAATATAAAGATGGAGGAATCATCCACAAGTTTACTTTTTCATTATTTCGCTGAAGAACGATTCAAAAGCAACATCAGACTTTCATTGGTTGAATTCAATAGAATTTTTATTACTTTTGTCAGATTCAAGTAATTTCTGTGTTTTAACCCTTCTGGAACCACCTAAGAAACAGCAGAAAAGTATCATCCATGAATTAAAAAGTTAAGATGTTAGCTGAACTGTTCATAGAGAGATCCTGGATTTTACCTCAGTATGCCCCGTCTACTCGCTCTCCCATCTCTCTTCTGTCCACCGTTCCACACAGCTGGGAGGAAATTCTCTTTTTCCTTTTTAAAAGAATCCGTCACTTTTCTGCCAAACTCAAACACATAAAGACCAAAAGCTTTGGAGAGACTTCCATGCTGTCAGCTGATACGTGGAGAACTCAGAAGGACCTGGACTGCGTGGGATACACCGTTTGCTTAAGACGTTTTCATTCAGCTAGGTCCTCCAGGGAGATCCAGATGTTCTCAAAGAGAACCAAGGATCTAGGTGCATGTGAGCCTTAAAGTCTGAGACATTGTTTTTGCTTTAGAACCTGCAGATGGGCCTCAGCTGTCTGAAATTATTAGAAACATGTTGTTTCTGTTTATTTAAAGGAACCTTCAGAAGGCTTTTCGCTGTTTTTACACCTTTTCCAAAGACACATTCAAGCACTTTCAAGGTGAGGTTTCTACCTGCTTTTTACGGCAATAGCTGTTTACTGTGTCGGTAGCTGGTTTATGCTAGCAGTTAGCTTTTTCAGTTCGCTGACAAAATCAGAAGAAAAGTTTGTTGTTTTGTTGGCATCATGGCAGAGCCTGGAAGTAAAAATGAGAATGCCTTAGGAGGTGAAACCAGAGTGAACATCGGCACGGCCTACGCTAGTTTGAGAGACTTAAAGGAGGCTACAAAATCACGGACTGATGGTGACCTGGCTTTGTTGCTACTGGATTTGTAAGTAACAGCATTTTCTGTCCAACAGTGTGGATTTTTACTTCATGGTTTATTTAGTGTCAGTTGGCTAGTGATAGCCTTAGCTCATTGTTAGCGCTAGCTACAGCAGGGTTGTTGGTTGTAATTCCCCCTTGAAGCAGTAGGGGGCAGAAACAGGAAACTTATTGTTACATTAACAACCCGACAGGGGGTAACAGCAACCCTTTCAACACCCAGCAGCAATCATTTGCAACAAACTAGATAGAAATGACTTCATTACAGGAAGAGCAGTAGTAGGGCGCCGGGGGCACAGGAGTTAGGCGCTCTCCCCGTTATCAGAAGGTTGCAGGTTCGAGCCCCTCTCAGTTTGTTGCTGTCGTGTCCTTGGGCAAGACACTTAACCCACCTTGTCTGCTGGTGGTATTCGGAGGGACCGGTGACGCCTATGTCAGCTGTGGCTGCACTGTAGCTCATCACTGTTTGTGTTGTAAAGCACCTTGGGGGGTTGTAGAACCCTAATAAGGCTCTATACAAATACGCACTATTTAATTACACTACCCCCACTTCAGTTTGGAGTCCAGAGTGAGAGACGGGGCTGATAACCAGAACACCGTTGGCGAGTTGCACCATGATGAAGGTCCAGTCCACTTTGACCAAATTTAAGGTATTTTTTAAAATTTTAAACTATAATTTCCAGCTATTGCCTGGAACCGGTGCTTACCACGTCGCAATCATGGGATTAGCCATCCAGTTACCATTAAACTTGCACTTCCCCATGGCGCAAGCTCCCACTAGCTTAACCAGCTAATGTGCTCATCTAAAAATAGCCCCCTTTCACAACCAACTGAATGTGTACGGTTCTGCTTACGCCAACATCGTACACAAAAAAGGCTGAACACAAACTAGAAATTCACGAAAATTGTATAGAAATAAAATAATCTTGTTCATTGGGTCTTTGGTAATTTAAGACCTTTGGAAACTGTATTTAAGGATCATTTGTCATTTTGAAGGATTTTTAGGGCCTTAAATTTGGAAAAGTTAATTTAAGACTTTTTAAAGACCCGCGGATACCCTGGATAGTGCTAGCATGAGCTATGTCTAGCATGAGCTAGTGCTCGGCCACGAGGACAAACTGATAAATATAATAAAAAAGTTTTAAATTAGATTTTTGTGTTTCAGATTAACCAGCGACTGATCATGCTGAACACAAGCTATGTTCATCTGAACACCTTCAGATTACAGATTAAACGGTTCTTTAAAGGGATTTTCCACCTCCAAGTGAAATCCTGTGCTAAACTGAGCTAACTGGGAAGGTCAGCGGATTCTTGTTCCCACTTATTTATCTTCAGGAAATATGGCAACAGACGAACTTACACGTAGGCGTGGAAAACTTCTTTAGATTGAACTTTGTTGTGATTCGCCTAATTATTGCAGCAGTGGTTCGACAGCTTTTAATATTTCTGCCAAAAGAAACAAATAAAAAATAAGTTTTGCTTTTATTTTGGAGACAATCTGTTTCAAGATGGCAGTGGTTTGGTTTGGTGTAGCCTAGCCGTTAGCTCATTAATCCCGAGGACTAAATGATTTCTCTGAACAGAGGCCGTTCGTTCCCTCTATGGCTACAGACGCCTTTATGATGCACACATAATGGCTTCAGTTGCATTCCAGTGGAAACAGTTTTATAGGTAGAAAGAGAGAAAAACGCTCTTCATGCAGTTTTTATTAATGGTTTATTCTCCTTTCGTAATTGTTATTCCCACGGTCGTCCTCCAAGGCTTTATCCAGCCAGTCTCTGTCCTGCTCCGACTCCGAGTCGCTGGCTTCGCTGGCGTCGGCCGTCAGAAGGCGAGAGTAGTTGATCCTGCGCTGGCGGGGGGCTTTCCACTGCAGCACAGGCAGACACACACACCACGCCACCAGGCCCAGCGCCACCCCTAGAAACAGCCACGTCACGCCGAACCTCTGCACCACAAACCCTCCCGCCAAGCTACCCAGTGCAGCTCCCAGGTGCAGACACAAAGAACTGAAGAACCTCCTCACACCCCTCTCGGCCCCCGGTGTAGCTACGTCCTCACACTGGCTGCTCACAGACCACCAGAGGGCGCCACTGCTGAGAGAGCTGAGCACCTGAGCAGGCATGGCGGCCCACGGGCCCCACAGGAAGGCGTAGTAGAAGCACTGCAAGGTGGAACTTGCAACCCCGACCACGAGAACCCTTCCCGGACTCAAGAGCTTCGAAACTCTGCCAGAGAGAAGAGGGAAGGACGCCTGTGAGAGCAGAGCGAGGGACAGAGACAGTCCCATGTGCAGCTCACTGCTGCCGTGATCCTGCATCTGCCAGAGGAGGAAGTTCTCCACAGCTGAACCCGCAGCACCGACGAGTAAGACGGTGACGGCACAGAGCAGAGTGTGGGGGGATCCGTGCACCAGCTGCATGGCTTTCATCAGCCCATGAGCCCTGTCCCGCTTTTTATTCAGGTAGAGAGGGAGGTAGACCGCCATGGGCAGCGCCGCCGTCACCAGCCCGGCATAGCAGAAGAAGTGCACCGCCGTCCTGGAGGTGCTAGCAGCTATGAGACAACTCAGCTGGCTGACCAGCAGCCCCGTCCCCCCCACCCCACACGCCGCTCCCAACAAACCCCACACCTCCGTGCTGCCGTGGCGGTCCGAGGCATCCGCAAGGTCCAGGTACTCGTACAAGCCGTCGTCCACCGTCCAGTCCAACGGGGCCGACATCAACTCCCACACCGACACGATGATGAGGACGAGGAAGAAGAGCTGGCTCTGACTGTCCATCTCCTTCAGGCTGCCCAGAAACCCAAACCCGCTCGAGTCCTTCTCCTCCAGCTGCTCCGGGAGCGACACAGACCTGTTACGTCTCACTTTAGCCACCGGAGAGCTGTCGGTGAAACTCGTGAGCTTTGATCCACCGTGACTCACGTTGAGCACCGCTGACCCATTTTCCGTTTTCAGCTCAGGACGCGGCGTCTCCTCATGATCTCGGTCAGCCGAAGACACGTTTGTTAGTTTGGGAACTGGCTTTGAGTCGGTAAAGTTGTCGGAAGGGAAAGTGGTCACAGTTTTGGGGCGTGGAGTAGTTGATGAAGGTCCAGCGTCAGTCGTGTTCTCAGGTGGCCGTTGGGTTGGAGCAGAACTCAGGCTGGAGGTGTCACAGGAGCCGATCCGAGCCCCCGGAACACCAACGGGAGGGAAAACCAGCAGGAGGAGAGCAGCCGCAGCCGAAAACACAAGCGAGCAGGTTATCACCACTCGTCTCTTGTTGTAGTGCTTGGAGAGGAGACTTGCTGCAGGGCTCCACACCAGCGTCAGGAGGTGTTTCGTTCCCATGACCATCCCAGTCATCATGGGAGACAGGCCCAGCTGTCTGAAGTAGAGGGTGAGGAAGGGAAGCAGGCAGGCTTTGGCGCAGGAGCACAGGAAGCTAAAGGTGCCAGCGAGCGCCAGAGCGCGTTTAATGTCGATTTGCTTGGTCCTCCTCATGGCCGACCTCCCCAGTAGCTCCTAGGAGACGTCACATGGACTCAAACTGGGAGACACAGAATCAAGAAACTAAATTCACAAACGTGGAGAGTTTCTGATGCCGATGAACAAGTGCAAAAAAATTAAATACTTTTGTTTTTGTTTAGTTGTCACACTTAAAGACGCACAGAGAAAACCAGTGAAAGGAGATGTTCTGAAAACAGACTCAAAGAGCGGACTGAACAATGAAAAAAAGAGCAGGGACGTGAACAGAACCCTGAGGAACTCCACACTACAGGAGGATCTCCAGGGGCGCCTCCAGAAATTTTGATAGGGGTGGCCAGATGGGGCCAAAGACATTTCTGGGGTGGCACACCAAATTGGTCCTTGTGGCAACGCTGGGAGAGTTTAGCCTGTGGCGATGTAGTGCATTGCGCCTTTATTTGTTTTTATTAAAATAACAGTACGTATAAATTTTACCAACACAAACACTTCAAAAATATACATTTCAGTTATTTAAAATGTTATCCATAATTAAATTTAAAAATGTATTTTTTGGGTTAATTCACCTGTTGCTGTGTTAAAAAAACTGAGATAAAATCTTTTTGTTTAATGGTAAGCAGCACAAACATATGTATTATTGTTTTTCTGATTATTTCTTTACTCATTAATTGTAATAATTTTAATTTATTTATAATTATGTCTTGAATAAACGATCAATATATGGTTTGACTGAACATGAATATGATTTAACACTGGCTTTTCCTGGGGGGAAGGCAATTTTCTAGGGGTGGACATGGGCACCCCTGGCCACCCCTTGGGGACGCCCTTGAACATCTCAGGGTCAAATCGTGCTTAAAAAGGTTAATATCAAAACAAAACTCATGTGGAAATCTGACTTATCTAAAGGTTCAGTGTAAGGATGAAACAATGGTGACATCCAGTGGTCAGGTTTGGTTACTGCAGTACATTTTAAAAAAGCAAAGCTAAAAAACAAACCACTTTTAAAAGACGTGATTAATCACAGTTAATTCGTGATTTAACATGAGGGTCATCGCTAATCTGTTCACCTGACCAGAAACATTTAAGATCAGGTAAACGGAAGGAATCTGGAAGGGGTCAAACGAGGAAATACTTTTCTAATGAAAAGAGCTGCTTTCCAAAAATATAAATATGAGGTTTCAAATTTCCTGATTCTTGTTTTAAACCAACATAATCAATTTGGACTTTTGCACTTTTTTAAAATCTTGTTTAATTTCTGTTTTAAACATCATAAATGATACACTGTCACAGCTAAAGTACGGGAAGAAATGAGCCAAGCATCATAAAGTACCTGGTTTCATAGGAACATTAGAATAAAGGGGCTAAACGTGTTAAGTTACATAAGGATAATTGTTTTAAGTGTAGATAAAGTTATTTACTCCAGAAAGTTGGAATTTCCAGGCGAAACAACTCGGAACCGGTCGGTGAGAAGCACCTGTCGGGCAGGATTCACCTGTCTGCCTGCAGAACGGAACGTTTGTCCACGTCACGTCAAGTTCCACAGTGAGGGAGCACAATTAAAGCGGGACACAAAGTTTACCTTTTCGGGCTCTTCTGAGTTATTTAAACTCTTCCGTCATCTTCCGGCTCTGGTTCCGACATTACACCCAACACGTTTGTCTTCTCCGCAATTCGGCTCGGTTCGGAGGACACCTGTTGTAGATTGAACGGGTTGGGAGGGGGTTCATTTAACTACAGCTCAGACGAGCCGTTTTCATGACTACGGCTCCCCCTACTGGTGCGGATGTCTCACTGCACCACCGGAAGTCCGTAGAAAGCTTAGCAGCTGTTTGTTTCTCCTGTTCAGACCCAAAAGCAGACCCACAACTGTTTGTATTATGATTATTGTCACTACCCGATCCGTACCGGAAACCCGATCGGTACCACGCATTGATGATCGCACTGGAATTTAGAACAGAGACACGTTTAAAATGAATCTGTATGTGTGTTTGACAAATGGAAATTGTATATAAATTAATTATTTCTTCTGGAAAAGGGGGCAGAAATAAGAAGTTTTTCTTCATTCTGCTCTTTTTTTGTTCAAATTTAATTTTTGTTATGTAATTCTTATTATTTATATGTTTCATTTGTTTTTATTTTGAATGAAATAAAAAAGAGAGAAAAAAGTGTAGGACGAAGACTGAGATCACTGATAAAAAGTTCATAATTTTCTCATAATTTTGAGAACAATTTGAAAAAAAATTGATGAAGCTGGAATATGATTTTATTTCTGATGATGGTTTAACAAAAGTAAAGGTTTAGTCTCATTAGCTTCACATTAAAGCTACAATAGAAAATACGCAAAACATGCTAACTTTTAAAGAGCAAGTCACCCCCTATAAGAAACTCACTCCACTCCCACTTCACGTTAGAAAAATGCAACAAATGCTTTGCCTGGTACCGAGAGGGTGGAGCCACTAACAAATACACACAAACAGGCTCACAACAGCATTGTGACATCATAATGTACCAGCTAATGTCATGGGGTACCTCTTAGCCAATAGCGATGGCAGATTTAAATTCAAATGTAGTGCAGAGTTTTTACCTGACGATGGTAAAGCACTGACAGTATTAGGCAGAATATTTTAAAAAAGATGCACTAAAGTGCCAAACTATTGACTACACGTGTCTACGGCACGATTAGACACTCGTTTATATAGTTAATCAGCAAAAAAAAAGTGAATTTGGGGTGACTTGCTCTTTAAACAGAAAAGTCACAGAACCCCTGCCACCGTCTATGATCCCTAGAACCCGCATTGCCTCAGTAAACAAGATAGAGCTAAACACCAGTTGCTGTTGTCCAAAAATTTTTTGTTGTCCGTGACTTCAAATGGTGTTTTTCTTTTTGCAACTCTGGTAGTTTGTCCTAAAGTTGAAGTGGTAGCAGCCGGACGTTTCTCCTTCTCTGATAATATCGAATGGAGAACCTCTCACACCAGTGGTGTTCTGGTGCTGAATAGGTGAGTGCGTGATGAGTGGAGGACCCAGGGAAGTGCGGCGGTTCGGCCTGACAACCGGATGGTCCAATGGTTGGTTTTGCACTGAGCTGTGTTACTGGCTGGGATTTTTAGACGAATGCGGAAAAAACACTTTCTTAATTTTTAATCTTTGTTTAATCTCAACAATATAATTATATCTTTACTATGTTAGAACATTGTTAAGAGGCATGATAAAACATTTTTAAGCTAGCTTGTTTTGCAGATTTGCCATTGCAGCTTTAAAATAAATAGTCTACATTGTCATATGCATAACTTGACCAATTGATAATAAAATGTAGACAATGGTCCTCAAGTTGTCAGTTTCTTTGAAGGATTTAGGAGATTACAGATTTGTAAAAATAAAAAAGTTACACACACTCACTAGCCACTTTATTAAGTACATCTGTTCCAACTGCTCGTTAACACAAACAGCTACTTAGCCAGTTACATGGCAGACGCTTAAGCGTATTTGGTCATCGAGACATGGTGAAGACGACCCGCTGAAGACGACCCACTGAAGATGACCCTCTGAAGATGACCTGCAGAAGACGACCCGCTGAGGAAGACCCGTTGAAGACGACCTGTTGAAGACGACCCACTGAAGACGACCCGCTGAGGACGACCAGTTGAAGACGATCCACTGAAGATGACCTGCAGAAGACGACCCGCTGAGGATGACCCATTGAAGACGACCCACTGAAAATGACCCGCTGACAATGACCCTCTGAAGATGACCCGCTGACAATGACCCTCTGAAGATGACCTGCAGAAGACACCCCATTGACGACGACCCACTGAAGATGACCCGCTGAAAACGGCCCTCTGAAGATGACCCGCTGAAAACGACCCTCTGAAGATGACCTGCAGAAGACGACCCGCTGAGGACGACCCGTTGAAGACGACCCACTGAAAATGACCCACTGAAAAGGACCCTCTGAAGATGGCCTGCAGAAGACGACCTGGTGAAGATGGCCCACTGAAGATGACCCGCTGAAGACGACCTGCTGAGGAGGACCCGCTGAGGATGACCCGCTGAGGATGACCCGTTGAAGACAATCCACTGAAGACGACCCGCTGAAGACGACCCACTGAAGATGACCCTCTGAAGATGACCTGCAGAAGACGACCCGCTGAGGAAGACCCGTTGAAGACGACCCTCTGAAGACAACCCGTTGAAGACGACCTGTTGAAGACGACCCACTGAAGACGACCCGCTGAGGACGACCAGTTGACGACGATCCACTGAAGATGACCTGCAGAAGACGACCCGCTGAGGATGACCCATTGAAGACGACCCACTGAAAATGACCCGCTGACAATGACCCTCTGAAGATGACCTGCAGAAGACACCCCGTTGACGACGACCCACTGAAGATGACCCGCTGAAAACGGCCCTCTGAAGATGACCCGCTGAAAACGACCCTCTGAAGATGACCTGCAGAAGACGACCCGCTGAGGACGACCCGTTGAAGACGACCCACTGAAAATGACCCACTGAAAAGGACCCTCTGTAGATGGCCTGCAGAAGACGACCTGGTGAAGATGGCCCACTGAAGATGACCCGCTGAAGACGACCTGCTGAGGAGGACCCGCTGAGGATGACCCGCTGAGGATGACCCGTTGAAGACAATCCACTGAAGACGACCCGCTGAAGACGACCCGTTGAAGACGACCTGTTGAAGACGACCTGTTGAAGACGACCCACTGAAGACGACCCGCTGAGGACGACCAGTTGAAGACGATCCACTGAAGATGACCTGCAGAAGACGACCCGCTGAGGATGACCCATTGAAGACGACCCACTGAAAATGACCCGCTGAAAATGACCCTCTGAAGATGACCTGCAGAAGACACCCCGTTGACGACGACCCACTGAAGATGACCCGCTGAAAACGGCCCTCTGAAGATGACCCGCTGAAAACGACCCTCTGAAGATGAACTGCAGAAGACGACCTGGTGAAGATGGCCCACTGAAGATGACCCGCTGAAAAGGACCCTCTGAAGATGGCCTGCAGAAGACGACCTGGTGAAGATGGCCCACTGAAGATGACCCGCTGAAGACGACCTGCTGAGGAGGACCCGCTGAGGATGACCCGCTGAGGATGACCCGTTGAAGACGACCCACTGAAAATGACCCACTGAAAAGGACCCTCTGAAGATGGCCTGCAGAAGACGACCTGGTGAAGATGGCCCACTGAAGATGACCCGCTGAAGACGACCTGCTGAGGAGGACCCGCTGAGGATGACCCGCTGAGGATGACCCGTTGAAGACAATCCACTGAAGACGACCCGCTGAAGACGACCCACTGAAGATGACCCTCTGAAGATGACCTGCAGAAGACGACCTGCTGAGGAAGACCCGTTGAAGACGACCCTCTGAAGACAACCCGTTGAAGACGACCTGTTGAAGACGACCCGCTGAGGACGACCAGTTGAAGACGATCCACTGAAGATGACCTGCAGAAGACGACCCGCTGAGGACGACCCGTTGAAGACGACCCACTGAAAATGACCCACTGAAAAGGACCCTCTGAAGATGGCCTGCAGAAGACGACCTGGTGAAGATGGCCCACTGAAGATGACCCGCTGAAGACGACCTGCTGAGGAGGACCCGCTGAGGATGACCCGCTGAGGATGACCCGTTGAAGACAATCCACTGAAGACGACCCGCTGAAGACGACCCACTGAAGATGACCCTCTGAAGATGACCTGCAGAAGACGACCTGCTGAGGAAGACCCGTTGAAGACGACCCTCTGAAGACAACCCGTTGAAGACGACCTGTTGAAGACGACCCGCTGAGGACGACCAGTTGAAGACGATCCACTGAAGATGACCTGCAGAAGACGACCCGCTGAGGACGACCCATTGAAGACGACCCACTGAAAATGACCCGCTGAAAATGACCCTCTGAAGATGACCTGCAGAAGACACCCCGTTGAAGACGACCCACTGAAGATGACCCGCTGAAAACGACCCTCTGAAGATGAACTGCAGAAGACGACCCGCTGAGGACGACCCTCTGAAGATGAACTGCAGAAGACGACCCATTGAAGACGACCCACTGAAAATGACCCGCTGAAAATGACCCACTGAAGATGACCTGCAGAAGACACCCCATTGAAGACGACCCACTGAAGATGACCCGCTGAAAACGACCCTCTGAAGATGACCTGCAGAAGACGACCCGCTGAGGACGACCTGTTGAAGACGACCCACTGAAAATGACCCACTGAAAAGGACCCTCTGAAGATGGCCTGCAGAAGATGACCTGGTGAAGATGGCCCACTGAAGATGACCCGCTGAAGACGACCTGCTGAAGACGACCCGCTGAAGACGACCCACTGAAGATGACCCGCTGAAAACAACCCTCTGAAGATGACCTGCAGAAGACGACCCGCTGAGGACGACCCACTGAAGATGACCCGCTGAAAACAACCCTCTGAAGATGACCTGCAGAAGACGACCCGCTGAGGACGACCCGCTGAGGATGGCCCGTTGAAGACGACCCACTGAAGATGACCCTCTGAAGATGACCTGCAGAAGATGACCCGCTGAGGAAGACCCGTTGAAGACGACCCTCTGAAGACAACCCGTTGAAGACGACCTGTTGAAGACGACCCACTGAAGACGACCCGCTGAGGACGACCCGCTGAGGATGACCCATTGAAGACGACCTGCTGAAGACGACCCGCTGAGGACGACCCGCTGAGGATGACCCGTTGAAGACGATCCACTGAAGACGACCCGCTGAAGACGACCCGCTGAGGACGACCCGCTGAGGATGACCCGTTGAAGACGATCCACTGAAGACGACCCGCTGAAGACGACCCGCTGAAGTTCAAACTGAGTATCAGAAAGAATGAGAAACTAGATTTAAGTGCAATGATGAATGAGGGTGGTTCCGAAGGGCGTATACCTTCATTGTTGTGAAACACACCCGCTGAGGACAACCCGCTGAGGATGACCCGTTGAAGACGACCCCTTGAAGATGACCTGGTGAAGACGGCCCACTGAAGACGACCCGCTGAAGACGACCTGCTGAGGACGACCTGCTGAGGACGACCCTCTGAGGACGACCCGCTGAGGATGACCCGTTGAAGACGATCCACTGAGACGACCCGCTGAAGACGACCCACTGAAGATGACCCACTGAAGATGACCCGCTGAAAACGACCTGCAGAAGACGACCCGCTGAGGATGACCCGTTGAAGACGACAAACTGAAGATGACCCGCTGAAAACGACCCACTGAAGACGACCCGCTGAAGACGACCCGCTGAGGACAACCCGCTGAGGACGACCCGCTGAGGACGACCCGCTGAGGATGACCCATTGAAGACGACCCGCTGAGGATGACCCGTTGAAGACGATCCACTGAAGACGACCCGCTGAAGACGACCCGCTGAAGACGACCCGTTAAAGACGACCCGCTGAAGATGACCCACTGAAGACGACCTGCTGAGGATGACCTGTTGAAGACGATCCACTGAAGACGACCCGCTGAAGACGACCCGCTGAGGACGACCCGCTGAAGACGACCCGTTGAAGATGACCCGCTGAAGACGACCCGCTGAAGACGACCCGCTGAGGACGACCCGCTGAGGATGACCCGTTGAAGATGATCCACTGAAGACGACCCGCTGAAGACGACCCGCTGAAGACGACCCGCTGAGGACGACCCGCTGAGGACGACCCGCTGAAGACGACCCGTTGAAGACGACCCGCTGAAGACGACCCGCTGAAGTTCAAACTGAGCATCAGAAAGAATGAGAAACTAGATTTAAGTGCAATGATGAATGAGGGTGGTTCCGAAGGGCGTATTACCTTCATTGTTGTGAAACACACACAAAGCTGAAGCCACCGCTTGATCTGTGCTTGAGTACAGGTTTAATGTTAGAAGCGAAAAAAAAGGAATAATTTCTGTTCTATTGACTCTTTCAACAGGAAAGAACCAACAAAATTATTGTAATACCATTACCGTAATATAATGAAAACATGTGCAATGTTAACTTGAGTGTTCTGTGAGTGCTGAGTCCAGTGGATGTGGGGCAAAGAAGGAGGTGATGGGAAGGCAGAGCAGCGAGCGGTAAGTGGGGTGTAGAGGCTGGACTTGGCCTGGTAGAGGTTTGTAGGACTTCCAGTCTGATCCACTTCCTGGTTTGCTGCACAGAGACACCTCACACCTGAACACATGTCAAAGCATGGCAGGTATAAAATTATCCACTGAAAAGCACACACGCAAATCTTAGAACTTTGAAGTTTTGATCAGCCGAGCACAATATTTTTTACAGAGGCTTGGTCCTTATATCCAGATTAAACAGAGGTCAGCTGGTTCAATGATTGGCAAAATCCTGATTCATCGTGTTCATAATGAATCTTCTGAGTTAGTTATGGAGTTCCTCAGGGTTTGACGTTTGGACCACTACTTTTTGACTTTAACTTTGCTTCCATAAGCCGAATGATTAGAGAGGAATAAATCTCGTTCTGTTGTTTTGCTGACGACGCTCTGTTCTATTTAGCATCATTAACTTTTACAACGTTATCATGTTAGCTCTTGTTGCTCCAAATGAATGAATAATGTGGGGTTAAGGAGACAAAGATGATGTAGGAGTTACCTTGTGACACTTTGGATGAACATCTTTTTGTCTTGATCCAGACAAACAGCAAACGTCACTCCCTCCCCTTGAGATTGCACGTGGACGTTGTCCACCTTCACCTCGGATATCAGGATTTGCTGCACACAGGGCAAGATGCTTGATTAATGCAGGTCCATTAGCGGAGCGTGAAACGGATATTTTCAGTGTCTAATAATACTTTTCACCTGGTTGTAACCTTTCTTAGATTTGGGGCACTGCCTCTTCAGAACTTCTGTCAGCGTCAGCTGCAGGCTTTCTTTTGAATGTGAACAGAAAACACAACGTAGAACCATTAGAGCGACCCTTTGTGTTCGTTTTACAAACATCAGTTCTACAAATGAAAAGTGACTGAACTGTTTTGGTGCCTGTGAAGTACGACGGGTTTGATATTTAAGGTACTCATATACGCCCAACAGGGAACCTAAAACGTTATTCCAACGGAATTTTGTGTAAACTAAAACAAGAAGAGGAACTAAAACTTCACCCAGGATATTTCTGTTATGACAGACGGAAAATAAACGAAACAAAACAGAAGGCTGCTGTGAAATCTTCACAGATTTCTTCTGTTTTTGCTTTTTTGACATTCAAATGATTCCGATAAGCACAAAAATATTAAAAATTACTTGATTAAATGCAAAATGCAGTTTTAAAGGATTATTTGATCAATGTAAAAGAAACAAACTATCCAAACCGATCTGGTCCCGTGCGTGAAGGTAAATGTTGAATAACAAATTCACTGTGACTGAAAACACATTATTACTAAAGCTGAGTTCAGTTCCTGCAACCACACCCAGACCTGTATAACTAAACAATAACTGCATTAGACAACATGAAGGAGGCTAAAAAAACTAAAACAGCAACACGTCCTGAACCGCTCTACAGATGTTTAAGACAAAAGAACTTAGAACAACATCTGAAGTGCTGCAGTCGGTTATGGTCAAGGAGCTCTGAAACCTAAACCACTGCTGACCAAAAACAACACAAATACCCATCTCACATGTTTGGATGAAACAAAGACAGAACTTTCTGGAAGGTGTGCGTCCCATTCCATCCGAAGTCAAACTAACACAATAACAACAGTCCGGCATGGTGGTGGCAATATGATGGTCTGGGGTTGAATTCTGCTCTCTAGCAGAACATCCTGAAGTTTAGGGTTTGGTTATTTTTCCACAGGAGTCATTTCTGATTGATTAGTTTTTTTAATTGAAGGGACGAATTAAGACATTTTAGCTTAAGTTATAATAGTTATATGGTCTTTAAAAACATGTTTGTGACGTTCCTTGCACCAAATCCCTCTCACATTAAGCAATTTCAACAGATTTATTCTTGACATGTTTGATATCTTCCACAATGAGCCGTTTCAGCGCTCTGTCACTTTAAGAAAACAGCCTGTTGCTGGCCACGCCCACCCCTCCCCCACTGAGGCTCGGCACCACAAGCTGAGAAGCTCCTATAAGTGGGATGGGCTCAGAGTAGAGCTGCTGTTCCTCCAACAGCAACTCTCTTTTGCACATGAGAAGTGGTTCTATTCTAAATTGTCCCTGTTGTGATGTCACAAATGGAGCACATAAACCCTAAACCCCAACCCTGACAGAAAACAGATGGACAGGTTTTTTCTTGTTTCGAGTGCTCAGAGACCCACGTGGCAGCACTAAAGGATGCAAAAGGAGAATCTTGCACAAAAGTCTACTTTAATAAATAAAATCCTTATTTGAAAGCAGAATTTTGTGTTTACTCAGATGATATTTGATTTGCAGATTTGAAACATTAAAATGAAAACACTGAGGCAAAAAAGAACTCGTGTTTCCAGAAAAGACTTTTGTTGAAGGTAAAAAAGGAACTGCTAAATGCATCGAGAATGTGGAGGAAGGTGGAAAATGCTTTTTAAGTCTGAGCCTATTTCAGTGACGATGACGTGTTTTTGTTTCTGGAATCTCATCATTCAAACAAACCTACGCTGGAGTTACTGACCAAGCTGCCCAGGTCTCCTGCACGTTTTCTTAATGTTAATCGATGTGCAGACCGTCTCTGTCTGGATCCACTGACTCCTCCCACTGAAGACCACCTGTACTCAAACAGGACAGGTATCAGGCCAGTTCTGTCTGTGGAAGTGGAAAGAGGCTTCACATCGCTTGTTAAACCAGTGCAAAGCCACAGTACCTTGTTGTAGGCGATGCTCAGAGGCAACGGCACAGCCTCTCGCTCCTCATCAATCCCAAACCTTTTGCTGGCCGCTCCTTCAGAAACAGAACAACACAATGAAGTCTGCACACAGTCATGTGCTGCTGCCTCTGTCTGTGCGTATTTAACCGACCCATGGCCTTAACGGCTCTGGTTCCAGCCGTGTGTCCCAGCTCCAAGGTATGAATGAACACCTCCCTTCTCTTTTCCCCCCCAGCCAGGGTCAGCTGTGTGGAGGAAGGTAGCAAGATTATTCCTTTACAGGCTCGTGTGTGTGTGTGTGTGTGTGTGTGTGAAGTGACCTCTGACCTCAGCCTGGTAGAGCTGCACCAGAACAGGCTGGTCTGCGTATCTGCAGTAATACAGAACCAAGTCGGCCAGCAGGGGGAGACGCTCCTCGCTGCCGCCGCTCACAGAGACGTCCTCGTCCTTGGACGCAGTCTGAGCCGGTGAAGAAGACAGATGATGGTGAGATGCTTTTGTGTAGAGACTGATGAAACCAACACTAAGTGGGTTCAAATTTAACTAACTTGATTCTGATGTTTTTTTCTTCTTTCCACTTGGGGAAAACTACAACTAGAAGTTAGCCAGAGCCGAGGAGAGCGGAGAACAGCAGGTTTTGGTGTCTTACTTTCTGATAATCGGACATCTCTCCTCTGGTTGGCTAACAGCAACACGACTCTGCCGCTGACTTCGTTTGCTCTGCAACGTTGATGTTTTATCTCCACAAATAACACAAGCCTGGAGGAGTTCTGCTGTGTGGTGGAGCTGCTAACGCTAACGGCTAGCTTCTACTATCAGAGACGTTCTCTGCTGTTCCCTGAACGCTAACCCAACAACAGACGTCCCCGTCGTGAGTCAAGATGGGTGAGTCCATGAATGTTAGTGACAGTGTGACGTAGATCTGTCAGGATTTTCTAATCCTAGAGTTTCACCGTCTGTTTTCTAGCAGAAGCTGATTTAGGGCGTAGGGGTAGAAAACACATTCACGTTGAGTCTGCGTGTGAAACTCAGAGGGACGATCATATTTCGAAGATAAAAAGTGTTTCTCAGTGACCTTGTTCCTTAAAGACATCCTAGCTGTAGCTAATCTGATGGGATTACTGCAGTTACACATCTCCTGAATTACTGATGAGTTCATAGGTTTGATATCTGAATCATTAGCAGTTGTTTGTTTGTTTACAAACTCAAAATAGCCCGAGAAAGAATTTTCTTTGGAAACAAGTCCGTTTTTTTTTGTTAATAAATGAAGACACCTCAACACAAAAAAGGGCCGTGACCTGCAAACGTCACATGACCCAAGGCAGTCTCTGAACCAGCTTGGGTTTGATGAACCCTTTTAAAATGTACCTCACAAAGAACGTGGGAGGACAGGCTGAGCAGACTGAGCACGTTGCGTTCATACCAGGGATCCATCAGGCCCAACATGTGGGAGATATCCGTCGTGCTGCCCTCCAGTTCAAGGCCATTTGGTCCCTACGAAAGAGAACGGTTAATGCTGGTTTTGTTGAAAGAGTACCAGTTTGCACGGGATGATGGGAAAATGTCCTGGTATGCTGACAGGTAAAATGTTAAAGTGCTGATGTACCGGCCCACTTAAACTGGAACAATCTCCAAACATACTTAATACACAGTAGGAGCTAAGTCTTTCTGCACCCCCCCACCCCCCGGAATACCTCGGCCGATGCAGAGTTGATGAACTTTTCACAAACAATAAGTCTCTAAAATATAAATATACGACAACACAGCATGAAATGAAAATAATAGGTGTAAAACTGCGTGTTTTAGCGGTTTGTCGGCTACAGAAGCACATTTATAAACTAGAAACGTGAAGTCACCATCTTAAAACAACGGAAGGGGAAATTATTTGTGTGATACGCTTGTCAGCCACTAGATGGTGCCATTGGATAAGAGAAATACTTCGGAAAGAGATTTTAATTGTATCGCGTTTGGTGCCTCCAAAGAAAAAATGTATTAGATGAAGCAAAGACGAGCAAAAGAGGGTCTGACCTAGTGAGGGGTCAAAACGGGTCATCTTCGAGAAAGTGTTTTCTCAAGATCTCAAAATGGATGCAGAGATAAGGGTCATGCTAATGTGCTCGTAAATTTAACTATGTGGTCAGCTAGCTTAACTCGTTCACTGCCAATGACGACTAAAGTCATCATTTGCATTTTTTACTGTGTGGGCGTCGGACGAGCCCCCACACCGTGAGAACAAACATCTCAGCTCTAAAGCCGATCTTCATCCGCATACGTCACACGTCACATGACCAGGAAGCAGAACATCCATGTGTTAGGAGATCGTGTTGGGCCGCTGCTGTAAAAAAAAAAGTGAGGCGAGAACCGGAAAAGCTTCTGCCGATCACAATTGGACCACGGATTATGAAAGAACGGATAACGCTCAAAACACGCGGATTCTTCCTGATGTAAGAGGTGAGTCTCTGCTTTGTTTTGGTTGTTTTGGCGTTGACGTCATCCTAGCGTGCAACGTTCTGTCACTCTTAAAAATACAGTAAAAACGGTGAAAAACGCTGGCAGCGAATGAGTTAAAAACACCGTTGCACGGCGGGGGGGGGGGGGGGGGTTATGACAGTGATTAAAGACGGACACTAGGGGGAGTCAAAGCACGCCAAAACCACCTAGTGTTAGTTTTATGAGCCGTAGCAGCTAGCTTCAGCCGTAGCAGCTAGCTTCAGCTGTTGCACGTAGGATGAACGCATCAGTGCGGTTATCTACATATGAAGTTGAAGCAGTCTGCTCCTACCTGCCCTTCTGTTGGTGTGAGTCCTCCAGTCACTTCAGTTGCATTGTGTCTCTTGGTAGGAACAAGGTAAAACTGTATTTTGCACATCCTGGTGAGCAGAGGACATTTACTCTCTCTCTGCTGCAGGTCACTGTACGCTCGGGCAAGCCTCCCAGCCTCCCTGTCACCTCCAAACACCACCACCTTCACCACCGTTGGGACTTCCGCCACGTCTCCTTCGTGTATACTCAAGATCGGCCTCCTGCGGACGCACACTTGCCTCTGGTAGGACAGAGGATCCAAAGGACACACCTGCTTCATGAAGGACCTCGAGTGTTTGAGCTTTCCTCCAGATCGTATGAAGTCTTTGTGGGGGTCCCCGGTGTACGCGATGCTCTGGGCACGACGGCACGTGCCAGGACCGCGAGGAGTCTTGAAGAGCATTGAGAAGCGCTCCAACCCCAAGAGGGATTTAGACTTTTTCTTGGGTTTTTTTCTAGGTCTTGATTGGCTGTCTCGTCCCTCCTCTGCGTCCTCGTGTGCCATGTCCTCACCGAGGTCACTTTCTACACCAGATGATGTGGAAGGCAGGGACAAGCTGGAGGACAGGGAGTAGCTGGAAACCGTTGAGTCTCTTGAAGAGGACGAAGCCACGGAGATCCGATGGTTGTCAAACTCATGGTCTACTTTGTTGAAGTCATACTCTTCTTCATCATCCACGCTTGTCTCGTTAGAACAGTCGTCATCTATTCCTCCGTGAAGGAAACATTCTGGAGAAAAGTCCAGGTCTGAATCAACAGTAAGGATCTCCTTCAGAACATCTACAGGAAGGAGAGGAAAAGGCACTCAAGATGGATAAAAGTTAAGGGTCAGATCTTTTATCGGGGCAGGCATTTACCGAAGTTGTCCTCGTCCCACGAGCATGTGTGACATTTGGGAATGGGAAGCTTGAAAATCTCAGCAGATCCTAATCAGAGAAGGTGGAACGGAGATCAAGAAAGTACTCACGCAGCCTTGAGGTCGAGCGAGAGGTCAAGTATAAACCACGTTCGTCTTTATGAACATTTGCCCGTGCCGCTCTCTCTCTTACCCGTGTTAGGAGCAGGTGCAGCAAAACCTTCTCTGAGCCTCTCCAAGCTGTGGAGTAGCTCCTCTCTAGCTGTCCTAGGATCAGAAACAGATGCTGCTTTGGCAGTGTAGACGGTTATGGCCTCCACGAGCTGCTCCAGCTCCTCCAGCTGCTTCTCCTGAACCAAACACAAAGGAAGGTTGTCTCAGTCAAAGAAAACACAAAAGAAAAAAGGAAATGAGAACAAACAGCGATGCATGATGGTGGTGACTCACCTGCAGGGAGGTGTGGAGAGCATGTAGGTCGTGTGAGGTACCAAAAGCAGCCTGAAAGGTGTGGAGGATCAGGGTGGTGAGGATGTCTCTGGTGGAGTTCCGGACGGTACTCAGCTGCTCGGAGGCCAACTGGACCTCCGGGGGGACCTCATCATCTGGGCTCACCAACAGCACCATTCTAACGAGAAGATTCATGCACTAACGCACGCATCTAACTTGTTTAAACACTTTAAAACATCAGAGTCTAGATGGACTTACATGGTTTTAGAGCAGTTTGCGTCGCAGTAAAGACCCTGCTCGGCCTTCACCAGTTGCTGAAACGAAACACCTGAAATAACAACAACAGAGCGTTTTTAAAGGGGCGTTACGGAGGTGTGACAGCCAAAACATGTATAGAAATAATAAATGTCTTCTTCATACATTCTCCTGCAATGCCCTGGTCCTGTAGAATGAGCCCTGGCATATTTACTGTGATTGCCTGTTTTTCTGTAAAATCACAGAAAAAGAGAGATGCTCGGGTCGAGCAGGCTGCTTCATGCGCGTTCACGCTCAGGCATAGCCCGTAGCATTTGCTATCCGTAGCTTTAGCAGCAGAGAGAGAGGCAGTGCCACTTTGTCGCTGTTCCTAACGCCTAGTGACAAAGCTAGCTACATTTCTGAGGACCCTTAGCTACTTTCTGTAGGACTTTCTTCTAAATATTTCCTGCAAATTAGCAACAAAATAGCCATTTTCACTCCGAACCGTTCTTTGGACGTTGTTTCAGCTGTCATCAAGGATATAAATGTTACAGATACAAAAGATGTTACTGGTGCTTCAGCTCACCCAGTTAGACGTCGGACTCTAGTGCAGAAGAACCTGGTTTGATTCTTGATGCGAGTGTAATTTATGTAGAGTTAATTTTTACATTAATGGTATATTTTTTACAGTAAGATTCCCAAATTTTTATTTGAGACTCGCCGAACGGCATTGAATTCACAGATAAAAAAGATGTGGGTTCAACTTTCATTTTGGAACAATTTTTCAAGCAAGGGAAGGGAATGATCTGAGCATGCAGGAGGACTGACCCATCATCAACCTTTGTCGGCTGTGCTGAAGAGAAAGGTACAGAACCACATTATTTAATTAATTAGCTGCGCGTTCTCCTGTCCTCCGGGCCACAAACACACACACACACACACACACACACACACACACACACACACACACACAGGACAGTCTCAGCTGTATTTTCGTTAAGGAGTGTGCACGTACAGCATGCGCGCCTCGTGCACGAGCCTACTATTGAAGCTGCCGTTATGCTATTGGTCTGAGGGGGCAATCGCGAGCATAAAAATTCAAAACTCCGTAAAGTCCCTTTAACCAAGGAGGTAAAACTGTCCGTTGGAGGAACAGAAAACTCCAAACTTTCCATTAAAACATCTATTTGTGAGGAAAACCCCAGAAATAATTAGACTTGTAGGAAATCCAAATACAGACATGTCGTCTGTGAAACGCTACAGAATGGCGTACTTCAGCTCGTTTGTGTAAACGTAACTCTCCTTCAACACAACTGATCATATGATGTTGATCCTGGGCCAAAATAATGTTGGTGCTGCACAACCGGACCTAGGAAGCGCAAGTCGAAGCCAAAAAGAGCCAACACAGCCCCTAGTGGCTGACCGAAGTCATGTTTTTGCCCCCCCCCCCATTCTTTGAATTAATAAGACATTTCCTTGACTAGAAAGACAAAAATACCAGAAGTGTGACCAAGTCACTTGTATGCAAGCCACAAGTAAGTCACAAGTCTTTCCAGTCAAGTCTCGAGTCCAGTCGAAGTCAAAGACAACCAAGTCCAAGTCGAGTCCAAAGTCCTTAACTTTGAATTTTCAAGTCATAATCAAGTCAGCTGTCCAACTTCAATTTAATGGCAATGATAAGAAATAAATTCTAGAATTAAAGCTTCTTAAAACTTAATTTATTTGCTCAAACAAGCAGAAACTGAAACTGGTTATAAACAAAGTGCTGCTGCAGAACAAGATCTAACCCAGAACGAAGAATGATTTATGATTTTTGTCCATGTCGTGTCACTTTTGTGCTAAACTATCAAATATGCTCAGGTCATCATCAAGTCAACAGATGTGTCGATTCAAGTCGCAAGTCATTGGCGTTCAAGTCGTAAGTCTTAATAGATTGTATCAAGTCAAGTCAGAAGTCACTACAATAATGACTCGAGTCTGACTCGAGTCCAAGTCATGTGACTCAGGTCCACACCTCTGAAAAATACACCTCAGATTAGTTTTCTGTTTGTTGACTCACGTAGGTTTTACCGTAGTGATTAAATGTTCATGAATTTAGATTTAGTAATTTAGTAAATTACTGTAGTTAATTAATCTAGTTAATTAATTTAATTAATTAATTTAGTTAATTAATTTAGTTAATTCATTAACATTTAGTTGTAATTGATTTTTTATGCATGAAGAATGTTGTGCGGAAGATTATGCATCCAAAACCAATATGGCTGACCCTAAAATGTTTGCTTTGTTTTCAACAATGGAAGAGGGCGGAGACATTTGATCTAGTTATTAAGCAACTCCAGACGTGAAGCCAGTATGGCGATGAACGACACAACTCTTTAAGACACAGGCTGAAATTGCCAAGCTGAAAATACTCATTTACTGTTTTAAATGTTACATTTTACTGGAGTGTGTACGAGCTGTAGTACTACCTGGTGTTCTGAGCTCCTGCTGGATGGTGTTTAGTAGGCGTTTGCAGGCAGAGCCGCAAGGCTCAGGCCACGCCAGGAACTCGTGGAACAACAGGTAGGCCTCCTGCAGAATGCTGGAATCTGCTTCTATGAATGGAGTCTACGTGAGACAAAATGTCAGCGTCAGTCTCTTCTTATAGCACGTTACAACGAGTGGCTCCACGGGAACAACAGGAAAACAAGAATTATAATACTTCAAGGCACTCGGGGAGTACAGACGCTTCCCTCTTTCATTCCCTTATCTTCTTTTTCCCAAGGCTCGTTGTCCTGTCTGCCCACAGAGCACTTCTCTGCATTTCTTCTGAAAAACCCTATTTTTAACCATGGATTTGATAAACTGGTCATTGAATGCGACTGATAAGATTTTTTCAACAATGAGAATGGAGCAGGGGGCTCCCACATGTCCACAGGGGACACACCCGGTGGGATATATGCTGGATTCCTGGAAGGAGTAGAAGATCATATGCCTCAGCCAGCTGTCCATTGAGGACGTCGAAGACGTGTGGATATTCGCCCTGATGATCACTGGATTTCTCCTGATTGGAGTGGGAGGATATCTGGTTTTCTGTAAATTTGGGAAGACGGGAGCGATTGGAGGGCGACCCGCACCCACGGAGAGCACCGTCCGTGTGGAGACTTCTCAGACTGGGACGTTACTCGAGGTGAATCGCAAGCTGGACATGTTCTAGCTGCGATACCGGTATTAGTGCGCAAAATGGATGTCATCTCGGAGGGAGTCACCGGACGGTATGGACAGGTTTAAAAACCCAAAATTGGCTTCACGGAAGGACTGGAATGATCAGTTTAAAGACTGAAGGCAGAGAGGAAAATTATCTCAGCCTGACCCAAACAAATTCTTGTTATCCGAATCTGACGCCCTTGTAGCCTTGAGCTGCAAGCAAATAAAACCCCCACGAAGGAATGCAGACAGATGCTGTGAAGCGACGGTGGCACAGGAGTTAAGTGCTCGTCCCGTAATCGGAAGGTTGCAGGTTCGAGCCCCGCTCAGGCTGTCGCTGTCGTTGTGTCCTTGAGCAAGACACTTAACTCACATTGCTTGCTGGTGGTGGTCGGAGGAACCGGTGGCGCCAGTTCTTATCAGCCTCGCCTCTGTCAGTGCGCCCCAGGGCAGCTGTGGCTACATCGTAGCTCATCCCCACCAGTGTGTGAATGTGTGAATGACGTTAGATCAAATACAGGCCATTTACCATTTTGTACTGAAGTCAAGACAAATTTTCTTTGCTCTGTTCAACAAAGACATCAGAGATCATTCGTGTCATTGCTCACCTGGATGGCTCCACCTTCACCTTCAGCTTTAATCACACCGCGAGGACAATCTGTCCATTTTAAATTGGTTGTTCGCTCACATCAGATTAGGCTCAAACGCGCAATAAAATCTTCTCACGTAGGACGAGACGTGGCTTCAGCCTGTCTCTACACGGCCAAAACCCATCCAATGGAAGGAGACCAGCTCACCGAGTGGGTGGGGCTTAGCGGACTTCTTACATGACCAAACTTGTGGCTTTGCTAAGGGCCCAGGCCTGAGTGTGTTTCTGTACACCAGCGAGCACCCATAGGTGGGCCCCATATGGAATATCCATGGGCAAGCCATATGGGTCCCATCAGGGTTTGTCCACAGTTTCCATGGTGGTACCACAGGGGTTTGCTCACAATGATGTAGGGTAAACCCATGTAGGGCCACCATGGAAACTGTGGACAAACCCTGATGGGACCCAGATAGCTTGCCCATATATATTCCATATGGGGCCCACCTATGTGTGCTTCTGAATCAGTCGCTGGTGGAGTTTATCTGTATTAAAGTCTAAGCGAACCGAACAGGGTTTGCCCACATGGAAACTGGTGATGGACCAGACCCGGCGCATGTAGAGTCCAACAACGCCAAGAAGTCTGACAGAAGTCTGTGGGCGACGGTGGCACAGGAGTTAAGTGCTTACCCCGTAATTGGAAAGTTGCAGGTACGAGCCCCACTCAGTCTGTCGCTGTCGTTGTGTCCTTGGGCAAGACACTTAACCCACTTTGCCTGCAGGTGGTGGTCGGAGGGACCGGTGGCGCCTCTGTCAGAGCGCCCCAGGGCAGCTGTGGCTACATCGTAGCTCATCCCCACCAGTGTGTGAATGTGTGTGTGAATGGGTGAATGACTGGTTGTGTTGCAAAGCGCCTTGGGGGGTTCCAGGACTCTAGAAGGCGCTATATCAAATACAGATCATTTACCATTTACAGAATTCAGCAAAGATCCTCAGACTCTCATCAGGGTGAGAGAGAGGTCTTTCCTCCCTAACAAAAGAGTTCTGCTTGGTTTTCGTTTACATGACAGAAGGCTGAAAGAATCTGTCAGAAAAAGGCAGAAGGGTGTAAAAACGTTCAGTAAAATAAAAACTTGGCGTTTAAAAGGAAAAGAGTCACTTTGGTGATTACAAAAACACACAAACTCACTCTCAGGAGAGCCGAGGAGAACAAGAGCGTCAGCGGCACCACCAGTTCGCACCGACTCTGCTCCAGCACCTGTGAAGAACGGAAAGCTCAGCTCAGCCCGTTCACGTGATGCTGAGCTGATCACACAGTCAGGATGTTTTCTAACCTCTTTTGTTTTCATCAGAATTGTCTGTAGAAGTATGAGGAAGTTGTGAGGATCCCTCTGCACAAGTTCCTCCAAACACCAGCGGCTTATGCACAGTCCGGCTTGTTCGGGAGACAGAAACCAAACACACAAACGAGACAAAAACCATGAGCTGCTGAGCGTTTCTGCTTCCAGGTTTCATTCTGATGTCCGCCGGTGAAGCTCGATACAACCCCAAAGATCACTGAAGGTGACTGAAACCGACACGGCAGCTTGTTTATGAATGAAGAGTTCTCAGTTTGAATGGTTACACAACATGTCTGTCTCTGTCACCACTTTCAGTTCTCACTTTCCTCACACACTTCACAGTCAATCTCCAGAGTGTTTGTTAGATACAACATTCAGCCCACCTTAGAACACCCGAGTCGGGTTGTTATTCTAGTCGTCCTACCGTTCCAGAGCTGCTTATCAGGTGTGTCGAGGCCCAGCTGACTGAGGCAGCGCTCGAGGACGTGCTGGATCCGGTCTTCGGTGCACGAGCTCTGCTCCATCATCTATGAAAAGCACCAACAAACCCACAGGTGAACAACAGAAGACCGGCCAACAGGAAGTCCACGCTCGTGTTCTGGTTCACCAGGGGGTCCTTTCACACAACAAACTTCCTGTTACCATTATCCAACTCGGCTCATTCTAGAGGACCGGCTCCCACACAGAGGTCCGAACTCCAGTGTGCACAGCTCAGAAACAGCCCGGTACTTCCTACTGGTGAGTCACAGATGGAGAGGACCGGAGATTAGCTGGCAGAAAACGGCCACAGCTTCTACTTTTTGTTGTCTTCTTAAGTTTAGTTGTCGGTAATCTGACTTTTTGAGATGACTCAGAAGACCAGCTTCCTGCATGATTCACCAGTGTTATTAGTTCAATTAAAGAAAAAAAAACACTTTAAAGTGAGAAACATAAACAAAACTGATGGCTCTGATACACATGATGTAGGGTAAGGGTTGGGTGCAGCTGCAGAGTTAGGGTGCATCTTCTGGCTTAGTCTTAGGGTGCAGCTGCAGGGCTAGGGTTATGGTGCAGCTGCAGGGTTAGGGTTATGGTGCAGCTGCAGAGTTAGGGTTATGGTGCAGCTGCAGGGTTAGGGTTATGCTGCAGCTGCAGGGCTAGGGTTATGGTGCAGCTGCAGGGTTAGGGTGCATCTGCTGGCTTAGGGTTTGGGTGCAGCTGCAGAATTAGGGTTACGGTGCAGCTGCAGGGTTAGGGTGCATCTGCTGGCTTAGGGTTTGGGTGCAGCTGCTGGCTTAGTCTTAGGGTGCAGCTGCATGGTTGGGTTATGGTGCTGCTGCAGGGTTAGGTGCATCTTTTGGCTTAGGGTTAGGGTGCAGCTGCAGGGTTAGGGTTATGGTGCAGCTGCAGGGTTAGGGTTATGCTGCAGCTGCAGGGCTAGGGTTATGGTGCAGCTGCAGGGTTAGGGTGCATCTGCTGGCTTAGGGTTTGGGTGCAGCTGCAGAATTAGGGTTACGGTGCAGCTGCAGGGTTAGGGTGCATCTGCTGGCTTAGGGTTTGGGTGCAGCTGCTGGCTTAGTCTTAGGGTGCAGCTGCATGGTTGGGTTATGGTGCTGCTGCCTGGTTAGGGTGCATCTTTTGGCTTAGGGTTAGGGTGCAGAAGCAGGGTTAGGGTGCAGCTGCAGGGTTAGGGTTATGGTGCAGCTGCATGGTTAGGGTGCAGCTGTAGCTGCTGACATGCTAGAGACTTGCGACTAACATTAGAGCAGTGCTGTTTGAATACCGAGTAGCAAAACTGCGGTTCCTTAGCAGCCCTAACCTCCAATAAGCATGTTACAGCATTTTATCTACTGCTGTCATCTACATTTTATTGCAGTTACACAACACAGAAAACAAGCACAATCATTAAGTCCTTTTCAGAACAGGAATAAATTATCTACATTCTCACAAGCTCTAAAGTCAGAAATACCTGAAAAATGTTTGATTCAACAAGCTAACTCATCAGCTGTCTGCTGAGGAAACAGCTGCTGATCCATTGTGTGTCCGCCTGTATTGTCCAGCTCTGCTGCGTCAACCTGAGCCGTTGTGAAGCAGAAACACCAACCGCTGCCAGGATACTGAGGTCACCGCTGCAGCTGTCCGGGTCTTTGTAGTGCCTACCTGAGTTTGAACAAACTAGCTGATCCTAAGTAAATCCAGCTGAGCGAGTGTTTGTTTAAGGATGTGATTAAAGTGCCTTCATGGATGGGGAACAGGAAATGTGCAAAGTTTGAATAACAGATCTGATGTAAGTGATGTGGCTGAGGCTCGAATCAGCACACACAGCACGTGATGCACGACGCGTTCCCAGGTCAACTTCTTTATGCATTTGATAATTACATTAGCAAAACAGATGAAGAGGAATCATTTCTCCTCCACCTGCAGAGATCAGTGCCCAGAAGATGCACCAGAGAATGAACAGCAGCAGCAGAGGAAAACAACACGGAGACCACATCCTCCTTCTGTCTTGGCTCTGTCAAAACTAAGCTGTCCGCACAGCCGACAGCTCTAGAGCTGCAGAACAGGAACTGCGTGAGCCTTTAGGATGGAGTGGTTGTGTCCATGATGCAGGAGGAGCTTTCCATTAGACAGAAGTCATCTGACAAGTTGGAGTCACAAATCTTCTCGGAGTTCTTGTCAGGTTTTTAAATATCCCAGCGTGGCGTGGTGTGTGTTTGAATGACTTCTGGTCAGAGTCCAGTCTGACATCACTTCAGATCACCAGTTTGTTCTTTCCTCTTCCAGCTTAAGTCAAACTTGCAAAACTGATCTAAATGAAAAAAAAAAGGGAGGTGAAGTCTGACTGGCCTGATGGGTTTCATGCAGTGGTGAGAGAGAGAGCTAAAGACAGCTGAGATCAACAGAAATGACAAAACTGTTGTCTGTGGCTCATTTGTGTCACCGTGGTAACCACTGGCAGCTCATTACTGTAACTAAACACCTTTGCCTCCAGTGGAGGCTCGTCCACAGGAGGCGCTAGGGCAGCTCCCAGAAATCCAAAGTGCTCATAAGCTAAAACATTCCGGGCGTGAGGAAAACCGCTGCAGCTCAGGCTAGAGTTTTAGCAGCAGTTATGCTGGGATTAGGCTCGTCGTTAGACCCGCTGTGGAATATTTGGTGAGAAGACTCCAACTTTGGGACCCACTGATGTAGAGAACGGCCGCTCTCTCTGCAGCTGAATAAAAATGTGCGCCCACGGGAATTACATCATCTGGGATTTTCAGACTTGGGTAGTAGTCTATGGACCTGTGCCGACCCAAGTCAGACTCCTCATTTAGCATTCTAGTCGTTTTATTTTGGTCTTTTGGGGAATTTCTCTTTCTGGAAATGGCAGCAGCCGGGGCCTGCAGCTGTGTGTGTGTGTGTGCGTGTGTGTGTGTTATAATGAGTTATTCTGTGTATGTTTGTGTGTGTGTGTGTGTGATAATGTGTTATTCTGTGTGTGTGTGTGTGTGTGTGTGTGATAATGTGTTATTATGTGTGTGTGTGTGTGTGTGTGTGTGTGTGTGTGTGTGTGATAATGTGTTATTCTGTGTGTGTGTGTGTGTGTGTGTGTGTGATAATGTGTTATTATGTGTGTGTGTGTGTGTGTGTTATAATGTGTTATTCTCTCTGTGTGTGTGTGTCTGTGTGTGTTATAATGTGTTATTCTGTGTGTGTTTGAGTGTGTGTGTGTGTGTGTGTGATAATGTGTTATTATGTGTGTGTTTGAGTGTGTGTGTGTGTGTGTGTTATAATGTGTTATTCTGTGTGTGTTTGAGTGTGTGTGTGTGTGTGTGTGTGATAATGTGTTATTATGTGTGTGTGTGTGTGTGTGTGTGTGTTATAATGTGTTATTGTGTATGTGTGTGTGTGTGTGTGTGTGTGTGATAATGTGTTATTCTGTGTGTGTTTGAGTGTGTGTGTGTGTGTGTGTGTGATAATGTGTTATTATGTGTGTGTGTGTGTGTGTGTGTGTGTGATAATGTGTTATTATGTGTGTGTGTGTGTGTGTGTGTGTGTGATAATGTGTTAGTCTGTGTGTGTGTGTGCGTGTGTGTGTGCGTGTGATAATGTGTTAGTCTGTGTGTGTGTGTGTGTGTGTGTGTGTTATAATGTGTAATTGTGTATGTGTGTGTGTGTGTGTGTGTGTGATAATGTGTTAGTCTGTGTGTGTGTGTGCGTGTGTGTGTGCGTGTGATAATGTGTTAGTCTGTGTGTGTGTGTGTGTGTGTGTGTGTGTGTGTGTGTGTGTGTGTGTGTGTGTGTGATGTGTGAGTGAGTGCGCGCGCGCATGTGTGAACTCCCGCTATTGTGGATTGGTGATAAACGTTTTTTAGGGTGTAGTTCAGTAAATCAACCAGCAGATGGCACTGCTCTCTTCCTCAGCAGCAGCTATGGGCCTCCCCTCCTGTTGGACCTGTTCATGGACAGACAGAGGTGGACAGAGCAGGTGTGACTGGCTGAAGGAGAATCGGAACTTGTTCTCTCGATTCCAGAAGAGGAGGAGAGAACGGACTCGGACCAGGCTGCTGCTTCACACTCCTGCAGCACTCTGAGCATCGTGGTTGGAGGTGGAGTTTCCTTTGCTTTGTAAGTTTACTTCCCAACACATTTAGGGTCTCGCGCGCCTCCACCTCCATCACTAATCGGCTCTTCTCCGTTTCAGCGCGTCGGTGCTCGGATTACCATGAGAAGGGTCCTGGAGACTTGGATCAGTCTGCTGACACTTTGCGCCCTGAGCCCCGGCGCTCTCGGAGGCTACGGGCTGAGCATGTTCGCGGCGCAGTCCTCCCCTCCGGACCCGTGCTACGATGAGAACGGGAACCCCCGGAGATGCATCCCGGATTTCGTCAACTCCGCGTTCGGGAAGGACGTACGCGTGTCCCGCACCTGCGGGAGCCCGGCCGCCCGGTACTGCGTGGTGACGGAGAAGGGAGAGGAGCGCACCCGGGACTGCCACTCGTGCGACGCAGGGGACCCCAAGAAGTCGCATCCACCTGCGTACCTGACGGACCTGAACAACCCGCACAACCTCACCTGCTGGCAGTCTGAGAACTACGTCCAGGCCCCGCAGAACGTCACTCTCACGCTGTCACTGGGGAAGAAGTTCGAGGTGACTTACGTGAGCCTGCAGTTCTGCTCACCCAGACCCGAATCCATGGCGATCTACAAGTCCATGGACTACGGCAAGTCGTGGGTTCCGTTCCAGTTTTATTCCACTCAGTGCAAGAAGATGTACAACCGGCAGAACAAGGCCGCGATCACCAAGCAGAACGAGCAGGAGGCGATCTGCACGGACTCCCACACCGACATGCACCCGCTCACCGGCGGCCTCATCGCCTTCAGCACGCTGGACGGACGCCCGTCCGCGCACGACTTCGACAACTCCCCGGTGCTGCAGGACTGGGTCACGGCCACCGACATCAAGGTGATCTTCAGCCGACTGCACACCTTCGGGGACGAGAACGAGGACGACTCGGAGCTCGCCCGAGACTCCTACTTTTACGCCGTGTCCGACCTGCAGGTCGGAGGGCGCTGCAAGTGCAACGGACACGCGTCCAAGTGCGTGAAGGACCGAGAGGGGAACCTGGTGTGCGAGTGCAAACACAGCACGGCGGGACCGGAGTGCGACAGGTGCAAACCGTTCCACTACGACCGCCCGTGGCAGCGCGCCACGGCCCGGGAGGCCAACGAGTGTGTGGGTAAGCCCGATCCCGCATTCCTTCCCCGGCCTCAGGCCCCCGAGCACGCAACCGGTCAGGTGGTTAATAAATAAACCAAAAATAATCCTCAGCATAAATAATAATGTTTGGATTATCATCATCTCTCTGATAACAACACCAGATTTAAAAATATAAACTTATTTCTTTGTTTTGATAATTTTATGTTGTTTCTCTAATTAAACCTGCAGCAGAAAATAAACATAAAAATCGGAAGTTTGGGACTTCTGCGTGAAAATAACTGATATAATGTAAACAAATGGTCAGAAATAATGATGTGAAGTGTTACATTTACGGGCTTTTGCTGTTTTAAACAACTTCCACGTAAATGAGAAAGTATGTGCGGATTTAATAATGAAAATAAAAGGATTTCTGTCGAATATTTTCTGGAGATTTTAAGAAATAAGCTTTAAAATAAACGAATTTAGTTTATAAATTCTTCAGCGAGACTTTATAGGCGTTTTATTGTGTTAATAAGCAAAAGGACATTCTCATCCTTGATTGTTATTTTCATTTAAACTAAATTCCTGAACACTAATTAACTGACAGTAAGGTTGTTGTTTTTTTAACCAAAGAGCGCGCATGTCCGAATGCGTAATTACGCACGGAGTGGCAGCATGATCGGCCGCGAGTGGCAGGTTGAGTTTCCATAAGCAGTTCCAGATCGGAGGGGTGATTAGGGCGGGTTTATTGACATTTCTGGCACGTATGGAGCATAAACTGCCACGGTAAACTATTCAGAGCGCGAGACAAAGGCGGGGAGGTCCGGTGTGATGCTGGTGTCCCACTGCAGCCCAATCTGGAGCCCCGACACGGCCACGGCCTGCTCATTCAAACGGAACAAGTGAATAAGTTGTTCTCTTTCGTGCGCATGTGCGCGTTTCACCACAACAAAGGGTGGCATCCATCTAGGTGTCAGGGGGCGGCTTCTCCCTTCCCTCCCCCTTTAGCGTCTCACTTTTTGTGATCAGATAAAGCAGCAGCAGAGCCTTGTCTTCCATCCACAGATGAATCACAAGGACCTTCAGACGGCCCAGGGGAGGAGCTCTGACCTCTCTTCTAACCGTGCTGCGGGGAAATCAAACACAGAAGAAACAGGAGAGAGAGAGAGAGAGAGAGAGAGAGAGAGAGAGAGAGAGAGAGAGAGAGAGAGAGAGAGAGAGAGAGAGAGAGAGAGAGAGAGAGAGAGATGCAGGCATCAAGGAAAAGGAAGACGAAGTCAGCTTCCCATGACTTAGCCTGCAGAGCTGCCATCGTTTGGTGAGAAGGCGTTAGTCTTGGCAGCAGCAGCATCTGAATTCCTATCAGCTGGTTTTCTGGGTGGAACATCTGGATGGTTCACATTCACAGAGAGTTATGAAACATCTGCAGGGAGGTGCAAACAAAGAGGCGGGAAACAGCCGTAGAATCAGTTCTAACAAAGTTCCTGTGAGGATGGATTACTCACGCTCATCGCTGTGGCTGTTGTGACGCCTCGCTGCAAGGGAAAAACGTGAAGGACCTCCAAATGCAATAATCGTGTACGTGAAACGTCGACATAGACACGTTTTATATAAAACAACACAGATCTACAGGATGTTGTAGCTCAGATAGACTTAACCACAAACGCATCATTTAGAGTTGAAACTTTGGACTTTACAGAGTAAACTGGTGTTCTGTCATCTGTTTTCGCTAGCCTCACGACCCTTAGACAGAGCTCGGTTAAAGGTGTGCTTTACTCGTTTATTCAACATATTTGCAGTGCTCTCTAGTGTAAATCAATGCCTTATAATCAATAAAAGATCTATGATGCTCCTTTTCTGAGATGCAGAAGTTTGCTGGTGCAGGGGTAGGCTGAAAACAGCAGGACTGCTCATTATTATTAATGATATGCGCTGTGCACATCTCGCTTCTGATTGGCTAACAGAAAGTGGTCAGCCATGTTGCAAAGTCACTATCACCAGGGGTGTTTCTCAATGCCGAGGAACCTTGCCTTGATGTCTTGGTCCCGCCCCGGTTGCCTAGGAGATACGTCACAAGGAGCCGCCGAGGAGTGTTCCAATGTTCATGTTCTACCGAGGCGTCTGTTCTCCGTTTGTTAGCCGTTTAGCTAGCTGAACAAAAATACACGGGAGGTGTCTTGTAGACTAGCCTTGGTCAAAAATTTGCTGCAAAAATCTTTTTAAAAAGCCATCCTGTGGGCGGGCGCAAGTCAAGATGAGTGAGGCCATGAATGCAAATTCACAGTGTGACATCACAGTGTGAGGATTTTCAGATCCTCGGATTTCACCATCTATTTTCTATCAGAAGCTAATGCAGGAGATAGGTGTAGGAGACCATTTTCATGTTCAGCCTGCATGAAAAGCTCAGAGTGACCCTTTACCCCCAAATTGCACTACCTCCGCTCCGCTCCGGTCCGCCCCCGCCTTCCGCAGCCGCTCGCTTCCAAACTCAATTTTTCTTGGTACCCGCTCTACAACGGCTCCGCTCCGGTGCGGAGACCTGAGGGGGGCAAACAAGCATGCGCGGGATTTTCGAGATCTTGCGATACAGTCCGAGCAATAAACGCGGAAGTTAGATCCAAACACCCGTTGTGTGGGAGAAGCATCGGCATGAGCTGTTGAATCTGCCCATCATTTGTGTTGAGAGATCAGCAGTGTTTGGATCAACAAAGTGTGACTACTTTGATAGTAGAAACTGTATTTATGGCTTACTTTTGTGCATTTAAAGTTCAGCCGCCATTAATAGTTGTTAAAAGTTGTTAAACCTGTGCATATGAAACAAAAAACGCCTTTTGTTTATCGATTTATTGTCAAAAACGGAAATTGTGCTTGCTCCTTTTCCTGTTGGGCGGTTGTGATTTCTGTCCATTTACTGCGGAGGTGCTCCGGCGTCCGGCAAAAATAGGATCGATTCTATTTTTGCCGGACGCCGGAACAGAGGGCGCCGCACGGCACCGCACTGCCGGAGCACGGCCGCAGTAGTGGAATTGCTCTGATTGACTACAACGGGACCGATTTTGCTCCGGCGTTCGTGTCGGAGCGGAGGTAGTGGAATTTGGGGGTTATAATCAGAAATTCAGTCAACCACACCTTTAAATCTACAGCTGTCGCTGCACGCCAGTGGGCAGCGCTAGGACCAATCAGATCAGTAAGGTGATGTATTCATACCGGCGGGAGTCAGTCAACAGGGCAGCGCACCTTAAAACGTTGAAGATGAAGAAGTACCTCTATCAGCTCACGTCTCAAAGAATAGCAAAGCCTAAATTATCCAAAGTTTTTTCAAACCAGCGACCTTCCTGAGCCAACGCCATCTTTGTAGTTTAGAGGGCTGTGATTGGCCCAGTCTAAACTTAGCCGAGCCGATGGTAGACCTGTCGAGGCTGCTGTGGAGCGGGACTCGATTCTCCTGCAGAGCAAAATCTTTAGCTACGGTCGGCCTTGATTTCGAGGTTTTTACACGATCGCCGTTTACGTATTTTTTTCGTGGAACGTTGCTCTCACTCAAAACAAAATAATTTTTTTCCTCTTCCACCCACTCTGACCGCTGCAGGACTTTTGGATTTCTCTCCAATCGTCGCAGAGTGCAGTGAGGGCGCACCAAAACTTCATCGTAAAATTCTCCTTAAAACAGGAAGTGAGGTTTTTTTTTTTACCCATCACACCTCCTACGCGAGCATAGAAATTCACACGTGTCATCGTCACAGCCCAGTGCTGCTCACAGATGTGCGGTTGCCACGGTGACCCTAATGAGTCACCAGCAGCAGCATTAACATTGATATTGATCGTCTCACATCAGAACTTTTTGTCTCAGCTTAGATTATTGGAAGCTCGGTGCTTTTTTAGAGGAAACATCCTAGTTTAGTTTAATCTTGTATTTGAATCGTCTCACTTTTCCATTTGCTTAAATCTGCATTTTGCCACTGAACTTATTAGTTTGTGATTGCCCACTTTCCAGGAAGAAACACCTTTTTAATGTATGATCAAGTTCATCATGAATTTATGTTTTTTATTTCTGTAAAATAATGAATTAGACTGGAAAATGCACGCACGTGGTGACAGGTTAAGCCCTTCTGTCCCCGGCAGCTGCTTCATATTCTCCCCACGCTCGTGCCGGCCTGACTGATGGGCTGTGAAGGGAACTGTGGGAAACCTCAACTTGCCAAGAGGTTTTTGAGGCGAGCTTCAGTCAGTCATACGTGTCATTTTGTACTTGTTTCAATTTCAGCGCTTGTTTGCGCTGTCAGCCTGCCACGAGATGTTGGGTTTTACTACAGCTGGAAGTCAGCTGGAGGCCCGATCCGTCTTGATTCCCTACGTTCACTTTCCTTTCAGCTCAGCATGTCGGCTGGCTGCCTTCTAATGTGGCTTTTAGGGTGAATTTCATGAAGAAGAAATTTTGATGGAACCGATAAATTCATCAAGACATGCAGGAGTGGAGCGTGCAGATCTGTGCAGATCCTATCAGGTGGCCTGAATGAAAAAGAGCCAAGATGTTTAGCGCCCACAAGGCAGCTGGGTTGGGATGCGATGGTATCAGCTGGCTGCTGGATCTGCTCCCAGTCTGCGGACCACCCTATAATAAACCCAATCAAAACACAATGGCTGCACAACCGTGAAATCCAAAGATAAATTGGAGAAGAGCTCATTAAAACCGGAGCATTTTCTCACCTGTTTTACATTTCAAGTGTAAATCTTTACACTTGTTTTCTTGCAGTCGTCTGACAGCAAATCTGTGATGTTTCAAGTCACCAATGATGCTCAGAGTCAGCCACGATGCTGGACCGCTCCACCCGGGGCTGAGTGGCTGGTTGTGTGTCCCTGTGAACATACACCTGTCCAGGTCGTCCACCTGCCTCTCAGCTGGACACCAGTTCCCCGCTTCACTAGTGAGAAATCAGCAGCTCAGAAAACCAGCGAGTTGGAGCGAGACCACAGCGAGTGTGCTCAGAGTGAGTGATTGTTGTGGAGATTTGCAGCACTAATGTTCAATGTGTACAAACT